TTTAGGTGCAGGACTGGTCTAGAATGAGGCTCTGGGTGCGGGTCACTGTCACCTCTGGAGGAGGCAGGGTTCTTTATGATGAGGGCCCCAGGGTAAATGCTCCCTTTGCTGTATTGTCAGCAAACAAAACCTGTGTTGGCATATGGTTTATTATGTAGCTTAGGGAAGAAAAATAAAATGTAAAATAAAATAGAGAATATATACAATGTTCAAATTGGTAAGCCCATAAGAAAAGGGTAGTCTGAAGAAGCAGAAAGGCTGTGGGAGTGTGGGGGCTGCACAGGTAGCCACGTCACCACAGCATCATCAGGTGGGCTTGGCAAAGACGGAGACATTTGAGGACAGTCTGATGGATGTGTGGGAATTAGAGAAGTGGACCTAAGGGACAAAAGCACATTTGGGGAGAAATAATTGGAGGATCAAAGATCCTGAAGATGAAGTGTGCCTGGGGTGCTCAGAGGATGGACAGAAGGCCAGGAGCTTGAGGAGAAGGGGGCATAAAAAGAGTGGACAGCAAAGACGGGCAGTGCTGGGAAGGCATGGTACATGGAGCCTTGTAGGTTATTTTAATGGCATGAGCTTTTGCTCTGAGATTTGAAGCCCCTGGGGAGTTGTAAACAGAAGAAGGACATCAACAGCTTAGTGGCCAGCATGCTGAGGTAAGAACATGGGGAAGACGGTGGGCACAGATGTCAGGATGGTGATTAGAAGACACTGCCGCAATCTAGGGTAACGATCAGAGCAGTAGCTTGGAGCAGAGAAGAAGCTGGTGGACAGTGGAAGTCATTGGATTTGGGGCATATTTTGAAGGCAGAGCCAATGGGAATTCCTAATTGGTTAGAATACACATGCATACGTGTATGTGTGCCTGTATGGAAGCAAAGCCAGAGATAAGGTTTTTTTTTGCCCTTAACAACTGAAGGGTGGTTTATTATTAGCTAAGAAGGAAATGGCTGTGAATAAAACATGTTTGGGGGAAATATCAGGAATACTGCTCTCAAGACGCTGGATTTGAGATATTTATTAGAGGAGGATGTTGACAGAGAACTGGACAGTCACTGCTAGAGTTTGGTAGTGGTCCTGGGCTGGAGTGCTGAAATTGGGAACTATTGGTATTCAGATGACATTTAAAGCTTTGGGAATGGACGAGACCATCAAGGTGGGGAGTGAAACTTGGTGAAGGAACGGTGTAGAAGTGAACCCAGGCCACTGCAGCATTGTGGGGATTATTAGAGGAGGATGTTGACAGAGAACTGGACAGTCACTGCTAGAGTTTGGGAGTGGTCCTGGGCTGGAGTGCTGAAATTGGGAACTACTGGTATTCAGATGACATTTAAAGCTTTGGGAATGGATGAGACCATCAAGGTGGGGGGTGAAACTTGGTGAAGGAACGGTGTAGAAGTGAGCCCAGGCCACTGCAGCATTGTGGGGGTGGGAGAATGGGGATCTGTGTAATGAAAACCCTAGAGAGACCACAATTATGAAAGGAAAACACACAGGGTGGGCCACGCTGGAAGCTACTGGGGTGAGTGTGAGGAAGACAGAGTTACTGACTGCGCCAATATTGTTGATGGAGAGATCGGATCTGGGCTGGGCACTGACCATTGGGTTCAGCTTCTAGGAAGTCTTCGGCTGATGTGGGAGGGCAAACTCCTGCGTGGATGGGTATGGGAGAAAATCAGAGCCGGAAACTGGTAACAGTAGAGGCAACCCTTTTAATGAGTTTTACTACGAAGAGGAACAGAGTATCAGATCAGCATTTGGAAGGTGATGTAGGGTAATGAAACTGTGACATGCACAGGTGGTGACTGGTTTCGGGAGGAGCACCTGCCGCTCTTGTCCGGGTGAAGCATGGAAGTGGTTCACACAGTAGGTACAGTAGCAATGGAAGACGTTGGAAGTTTCCTTTGATGGACTCTAGGAAACGAAGTCATCATTGTAAGTGAGGATAAGGGAAGACTGCACTGAGGTTTCAGCAGAGAATGAATCACCCTTGGCTGTAGAGAAGACAGCGAAAGGTGTAGGATTATACAGAGCAACGGCTTTCTGGGCTAGAACCTTCATGCATTTCAGAGGAGACCCCATTGGCCGTTAAAAGGCACTCCAGTTTTCAATGACTAATGTACAGACTTTCATATGTTATATGATTATGTAAATGACCAAAAAAAAAAAAAACCAGCTTAAATGGCTTCATTTAGTCACACACAGCAAAACACCAAGTGAAGAGAATTAAAGAAACAAAAACAACGACAGCTTAGACGGCAGATTTTATACTTTTTAAAAAAGTCTCCAGTTGACTCTCTTGAAGGATGTTGCATTTTGACTTGGATTTACCTTCTAGGCAGGTATAAATCTGTAGGATCTTCTACTCAGGTCACAGTGAGAATGATGAACGTGAGTTCAAGTATAATGGAAATACTTAACAGACAAAAAAGGTTTTGATCAGAGGTCCCCCCAAAGTTTGAGGTTTTGGAGACTGGGGATAATGAGGTTTAAAATGTGATCATTATGGGAAAGAGACAATGAAAATCAGTTAATTGTCATCAAAAGAGTTAGAAATTGCTGTACAAAGGAGCTTCTTCTAAGAATCAAATTTAAGAATTTATGAACAGGTTCAGTGAGTCGTAATCCCCACACTTAAGATGCAGAGGAAGGAGGACCACTCTAGTTTGAGACCAGCTTGGTCCACATAGCATATTCTGGGCAAGTCAGGGCTACATACAAAGCTCCATCTAAAAAAAAAATTCCCACAGGACTATGAGAAAGGGATTTGTAGGAAAGAGGGAGGGTTGATAGGAGAGGGAGGGAAATAAGAGAGGGTGGTGGGTTAGAATAACAAAAGTGCATTATGCATATGTATGGAATTATCAAACAACAAATCTAATTAATAACAAAAAATCTTGGTTATTTAAAAGATTATGGTACTTTGCTGGAGCATTCCAGATCTCTCAATAAAAATGATCATGAGTAGATAAGTAGATTGAGCATGTGTTTAAATCTGAAAACCTGTTACAGATGGACTTATCTTTTCAATTCATTGACAAGCTTTCCTTGTTTGCCATTCTTTGGAAAACTCACTGAAGGTATGCTTATTAAGTACAGGCAATTAAGCCAAGATGTGAATGTAAGTTTGATTCAAAAGGCATATTGAAATTACTTGTTCTTTCATTATTTTGCATATTGAATTTCATACAGATACTCTAAAGAGAAAAGGTTCTAAGAAACAAGGACAGCCTAGAGAATAAATAACTACAAAACACTGATTCTGTCTGAATTTCTCATGTCGTTAATATTCCTAAGTGATCTTTCTCAACAAAGATGTCTTGCTTATGTGACAGTGGGACTTAGAAGAGAAAAAAAGACCCAAGTACTTAATGAATAATGCATAAGTGCATAGCAGTGGTCAGACGATGCTGTTTCCTAGTGGGTACCACTTTTCTTCATTGAGCGGAACACTGCAGAGATGGATGTTAATTGCTCCCACAAATATAGTTTTGCTCTTCACAATAAGCATTAAGACATGTCCTTGGAGATCCAGGACTTCATCATACACCACCTAAGAACAGAAAAATGAAAGCGTCAATCAGATATGCTTGAATGCATCTTTCTTTTGAATACTGACTTTAATTTTAAAAATGCAGCTAACTGGGATGGAGGGATAGCGCAGCCGTTAAAGGCTAAGGCTAACAACCAAAAAATAAAATGCAGCCAACACCTTATACCCTGAGGGGTGGGGGCTGTGTGAATGTCAAGATCTTTCATTTCCACTGCCAGCCCTGAAAAGCCAAGGTTTTACTAATTGAACGGAGTTCAATCCTAAGAATCTTAGGATTTACTGATTCCCCTAAAATTTCCCACTGAAAAGTCAATAACACTGCAAATTATTCTTCAGGAATATCGTTATATATTCTTTAACTCTAAACTGTCCTTGAGTTTACTGGACAGCATAGGAACCTGATGTCACTTTTCTGTGTTGAAGATCTGCAAGGACAGACAGACCGTTTCTATGTTCTCACAGTAATTAAATGCGGCACAGTGATATTCCTTATGCACATGAGATAACTGTATGATTACTTCTTTTACTTAAAATTGCATGATGAAAATACATGCTTATTCAATAAATACATATGATACAAATATGAACACAAAAGGATAGAAAAAATCTGCATTTGCACCATGGGGAGATAATTGCATTAACATTTTGATGATCTTTTTGTGTTTTACACATAATTAGTTTTTAAGGGTCTGACCTGTAATTATGCTCTCTATACAGTTTTGTCCTTTTCCTTGTGATTTAATTTTATAATGGGATCTGTTCAACTATGTTTTCTAATATTCAGGAAGTAAGTTATGGTCATGACGATGGAGACCTGTGGGAGCTGGGAGACTTGAAAGTGGAGTGTCATGAAGATGAATATTCCTTATCCAACAGGAAAGGGGGGGAGCCTGGAGTGGAGATCTGCCATGGTTGCCACGGAAACATGTGGGAACACATTCAGAAAAGGAGTTTCATACAATTCTACAAATGAGCTATTTACAGGCACATTACAAGATAGAAGAAAACACTCAGTACATGCAGAACAGAAGCTGAAGAGACAGCTTGACAGGGAAGCCCTCAGACAGCTGGGCAGCCTTCTCCTGAGTGTGGATGAGGTTTCTGGGAAATTGCACAGTGTAGGCATCTATTTATGACTCCATGACATCATCAGCAAAGAACGAGGATGTGGCTCTGAGGGAGAGCCCTCAGTTATGTCCATAGCACAGAAGAAATAGGTTATCAATGAAATTAATTTCAAGATCAACCTGATCGTGTTCCTGAACAATAACTTACTAATCAGACAAGCAATAAGTTATCTGCCTAAGCCAACCACTTCCTCCTACAGAACCTCACTTCTGTTCCACACAGGAAGCTACCTTTGAGTTCTTTTACGTTTCTGTGTTCCAGCTTTGGAGTTCTCTTGGGGCAATGAAGGATTTTAAAGAGTATCTTCAACATTTCAAAATTCTCCCCCTGTGACTCATGTTCTTTAAAGTTGGATGTCCAGTGCTACCCAGAAATTCATCTAGAACTTCAGGGTAACCTCCTTTTTCTTCCCTCCATAGTGGCCACTTCAAACTGTCTGGGTTATCCTTCCTTTCTCCTTCCCAAACGGACTCTCCGCAGATGATCTCCTCATTTGCCTTACAGAGAAAACAGCTGAGGGAAACTTCGAAGTGTTTCTGGGTACAAAGCACAAAGATGCAAAAATTCTAAACCTTTGGACTCGATGAATTATATAAATACCTTCTAAAATGTAATTGTAAACAAAATGTATCAGTAGTTTTTATTAGCCTGACTCTGTTGTCAACTGTGTATTCTTTTAAAAAAAGGATCTATTTTTATTTTATGTGTATAAGTGTTTTGCCTGCATGTATGTAAGTGCACTATGTGTGTGTAATACTTGCAGGGACCAGAAGAGCATCGTATCCTCTGGATATGTGGATGCTGGGAACAAAACCCGGGTCCTTTGCAAGAGCAACCAGTGCTCTTAACTGCTGAACCATCTCTCCAGCCCTTTCAATTGTGTGTTCCTGCATGGTGGGGATAGGTAAAAGAAAGACTGCTTCAGATCTTACTGTATATATTTAACGTACTCAACACTAAGAAATCATCACTTAAAATATCCATTAACTAACTATGCTAATAGGAGGAGCTTATTTTTGAATATTGCATCAGCAGGCATAGAAAAACTCTTCCAGACAAAATTGATTTTCCGACATACCCAGTAAGCAGAAACCCTCAGGAAGTGACATTGGGGAACACATATTTTTCCACTTCAAATGCAAATATTTGAACTTCCAAAGCTTATATCACTTAACAGAGTTTAAGCCATTCTTCATCAATTCAAATGCAAAATTATTTTCTTAAAGTTACTGAAGTTTTCTAAACTTGTAACTAATATATAGCATAGATGGCATGTAATACTTTTTTTTTTGTTTTGGTCTTTTTGAGACAGGGTCTCCCTGTAGCCCCAGCTGTCCTGGAACTCACTATGTGGACCAGGCTGGCCTTGAACTCACAGAGATCCACCTGCCTCTGCCTCCTGAGTGCTGGGATTTAAGGCATGAGCTACCACGTCCTGCATAACTCTTAATGTAATAATTGGGATGAGAAGAACACAGATGAAAGTATTCTTTGAGATGTTTTTCACCAGATGATTTAATAAGTATTCTGCTTTCATAAAAACAGAATAAAGAATGAATACCTTTTTAAAATTAAACTTTATAATTTGTTTCTTAGCCATAAACATGAGGCACGTCTTCAGTAACTCTGACAGATACCAAATTTGTGGCCTTGGAATTGTTACATCCAATAGCAAGCCTTTAATAGAATGTGTGTCTATTAACTTGTATACAAGCGTTCACTGTACATTATTTGACACAAGGATCTGGCAAAGAATCCTAAAGTGTACTCCTGTCATGCAGTGTCCACGGAGGTCAGAAGAGGGCGTGGGATACTCTGGCACTGGAGTTACAGACAGTTATTAGCCACCATGTGGGTGTTGGGAATTGAACCTAAGTCCTCTGCAAGAGCAACCAGTGCTCTTAACTGCTGAGCCATCTCCCCAGTCCCAAGACAGTATTCTATGGAGGCACGAACTTGGGATTAAGGACCAGCCAGTTCTGAGGCTGCAAATAACTTGTGTGACCTCTGGTCTTGTGTATCTTCATTTCCAAATGTAGGTCTGTGTCACCAAATGAAGGGATGCCTTTGAGAAGAGTGTCACTGGGTGACTTTTGCCCTTGTATGAACATCAGATGAAGATGTCTACATTGTCACACATGATAGAATCTTCGGGGAACCACTGTCTTTTATGTGGCCCATCATTATCTGAAACGTAATGCTTAGCTGTACAAGTTCATCAACTTTGAACATCAAAAGGGTTGGGTCTAGGGAGATAGCTTGGCCAGTAAGACACAAGGACCTCAGCTACACCCCCAGAACCCACTTAAACAAAAACAAGTATGGAAGTGCTTATAATCTCAGTTTATACTCAGCCCTGGGGAGGTGGAGATGGCCTCATCTTTGCTGCTCAGCTAGCCTAGACTAGTTGGGGAGTTCCAGACCAGTGAGAGACTGTCTTTATAAAAATGAGGAAGGCTGGAGATATGATCAACAGTTAAGAGCCCTGATTGCTCTTGTAGAGAACCCAGGTTCAGTACTCAGCACCCAGATGAAGCTCTCAACCATCTGTAACTCAAGTTCCAGGGATCCAACATCCTCTTCTGGCTTCTGCCGGCATTACACACATATGGTACAACTGCATACATGAGGTAAAACATTCATACATATAAAAAATTAAAATTGATTAATTACAAAAGGTGTTGGATAGCACCTGAGCAGTGAGTGGACCTCTAGCCTCCATACATATACATGCACACAGATGTGCATGCAACCTGCACTTATGTAGACTTGCACACACACACACACACACACACACACACACACATGCCCTGCAAGAAATATTATTTCAAAAGATTTATTTGTTTAGTTTAGTTTATATACATGTGTGTACGTGCTGGAAAGCTTTAGCTGTCACCTAACACACTTGGGAAGAGGGAACCTCTAGTGGGGAATTTCCTCTATCGGACTGGCCTTTGGGCGTGTGTGTGAGGCATTTTCCTGATTGGTGTGGGAAGGCCCAGCCCACTGTGGGCGGTGCCACCCCTGGGCTGGTGGTCCTGTCTGGGTTGTATAAGAAAGCAGGCTGAGTACAGGCTGGAGAAACAAGCCAGTAGGCAGTGTTCCTCCATGGTCTATGCTCCAGGTTCCTGCCCTGACTTCCCGCCTTGGCTTCCCTTGATGATGGACTGTGCTGTAAGCCAAATAAAACCTTCCCTTCCCAAGTTGGTTTTGTTCAGTATATTTATCACAGCAATAGAGAGTAACTAGAACAGTGTGTGTAGGTGTGCCTGAGTGTACATATGTGCACTGTGTGTGTGCAGGCATGCCTTGATGGCTCTGGGAACTGACCCCTTTGGAAAGGCAGCTAGCGCTCTTAGCCACCAAGACATCACTCCAGCTCTAAGAGATTTTTCAGTGTTTGTTTTTAAATATTTTATTTATTATTTTTATTTTATGTGTGTGAGTGTATTGCCTGCATATGTGTAAGTGCACCTGCTGGAACTGGAGTTATGGATGGTTGTTGGCTACCATGTGGGCACTGGGAACTGAACCCAGGTCCTCTCCAAGAGCGGCCAGAGCTCTTAACTATGGAACCATCTCTCCAAGCCTAAAGAGATTTTTTAAAAATATATTTTTATAGATCATTTGAGAATTTCATACAATGTATTTTGATCATATTTAGACCTCCTCCCTCATTTCCCCCAACCCCTTATTACCCCCTCCCCTGTCTTCATGTCATATTTTTCGTATTTTTTTAAGGGCCACAAAGTCTAATCTGTGCTCCCCAAGTGCTCTTGGGCATGGGTCCATTGTTTGGAATCTGGTCAACCTACCAGGCATCACACCCTTAAACAGAACTGTCTCTCCTTCTTCAGTAGCTATCAGTTGTC